TGCTCTGAGTGAGTGAAAGACTTTCTCTAAATGCTTTTGGGATTGAACAAAACCACCTCAGCATGCACACTATAAGAAGGAAATGGAAAAATATAAATTTTCTGTTGAGAAATTTCACCTACCAGCTGCCCTTTTCAAAGCAATCTTTGCTTCACTCCAGCAGCCCTTTGAATGGGGTGTGAAAGTTTGGCGTAACACTAGTTAGCACAAACTGTTGCTCAACAGCCCCTTCAAAACTATGGTTTGTAAACTAGTGTAAGTTCAGACAATGCTTTGGACACTTTTTATGCAAAGGTGGGATATAAATGTAACAAATACACAAACAACACAAACCATCATTTGGTTTTTAAAGGTTTCTGTCATCTCAGAATCTGACAAATTATCCCTTTTAACTGCCGACCAAGATGGGCCTTTAAAAAGAATTTGTGATGTTTTTGGTAGGCTCTCTCTTGTTTTATCTCACTGATGTTGGAGAGAATCAAAAAATGTTTTCATGCTCTTTTAAAGACTTTATCTCCTTAAGTAGTGCATGTGTGCTGGGGGGGGCGGTGAAGAGAAGGCAGGGTGGTAGATCATATTCACCACATATAAACCTCACAAAATTAAATGAGACTTGAGCAGAGAAAAGAGAGGCAAACGTGAACTGGAGAACAGAGAAAGAAAAATGTAACTTTTGAAGTTGCTCTCTTTTAAGCAGCCCTATAGCTACTCTTATTGCCAAGTCATCTCTTCTTTAGATACTTGGAAAAAAATGAGGACAAAAGCTTCCCAGAGGCTTTATTTCATGCATGAGATGCTGATTAACAAAAGCTAGCACATTAACCTACAGCGCTCCTTCCAGTACTTTTTTAAAATTCAGAAGAGGGATTGGACATTTCCATAGGTAAAAGAAACATCCAGAAACACAGCATATAACAAACAATTTAGAGAAAGAACAAAAACGCTAGCAGGGGAGAAGACCGTAATCGTGTGGGAAAACCTTCTAACTTTTGAAATGAGGAGGAGGCTTAATTTCAGGATGGCTTCTTAGGAGCCACAATCATGACGATCTGTGCAAGGTAGGGCTGGCGATATCCGGTTTTCAACGTTTTGATATATCACCAGCAAACCATTGTAATACAGTGATATATCATGATGTCTGAAATAAGGGGTGGCTGGGCTGTGGAGGGAGGGAGTGGGCAGGAGGTGAGGCCAGAAAGAAGGGAGGAAGGAGGCAGCCTGCTTGCTTGGGATGAAAGACGCAGCCTGCTTACTTGGGCGCAGGCAGGCAGATGGGCAAGCACCTTCTCGGGCTCTCTCAACTGAGGCCATCACTCTTTTTTTAAAGCACCACACTTCAGGACAAATTTGATTTACTCCCTGCATCCACCTGACAACTCTTAAAACTCTGTATGGTACAGAATTCTTAAGGAAGTCAGCCCTGAGTACTCACTGGAAGGACAGATCCTGAGGCTCCAATACTTTGGCCACCTCATGAGAAGAAAAGACTCCCTGGAAAAGACCCTGATGTTGGGAAAGATGGAGGGCACAAGGAGAAGGGGATGACAGAGGATGAGATGGTTGGACAGTGTTCTTGAAGCTACCAACATGAGTTTGACCAAACTGCAGGAGGAAGGGGAAGAAAGGAGTGCCTGGTGTGCTCTGCTCCATGGGGTCACGAAGAGTTGGACACGACTAAACAACAACAATGGTACAGAAGCAAGATTTGGCCCAGGTACATTGAGTGCAGCAGACACACCATATCTCCTGCAAAAGTCATGTGGCTTCTTCTTCTTGAGAAAACTCATCAGGTGCCTATACACCTCAGTATGTAACAGACTAAGCTGTGTTCTAAACCTAGTAAGACATACGTGGGACAAAGAATTAGCAGCACACACAGTGGGGGGAAAGCCTTACTTAGTACTAAACTAGCCATTCACAACATTAAACTGAGTTTAATTCAACAGAAAATGCTTTTTTAGACTGGATACCAACATGCCTGAAGCCCAGGGGCATCACATGACTGCTGGAGATGCAAGCAGCCACAAGCAAACCTCTAACTCATGTACTATGAAACTGCCCAGTAATCCAACCTTTCTGGAAGGAAGTACAGGCTGTTCTGTTTCACTAAAAACACAGCAAAGAATTTCAGCTCACAGCTCTAGGTTGTGTACATACAATATGTTTAAAGCACATTCAAAGCACATTTTCTCCCCTCGAAGTATTATGGGCATTGTAGTTTGTAAAGGGATGGTGGGGATTGCAATGCTCTGAGGGGTAATGCCCAGAATTCTTTGAGGGAGAGAATATTCTTCAAATGTGCTTTAATGGTGTAGAGTGTGCACAGTGCCAGAGCTGTATCACTTCTGTAGGAGCACAAGTAAATTTCCCAAAGTGGACAGCCGTACCTTAAGCATACAAGCGAAACAACACGTAGAGCTTAAAGATGCCCTTAGTACGTAACAATGTGTTCGTTGCACCATATAAACTGTCTCCCTGAACTGAAAAGCAGTGATTTCCCCCTCCCCCTTCATTTCTTCTGGTTTGTGTAAGCCTGTCACTACATAGTGAGTCACAGACTTCCTACCACTGAATTTTTCTACTGTCACTCCTCTTCTTATAAGGCTTCACTTTCCAATAAACGAACTAGCTGACATGTGAGACATCCCAGTTGGTCGTTGTTGTTTAAACATAGAAATCCAATGGCTGTTTGCAGGCTTAGATAACTTTCTCACTTGCTCAGATGGGTGTGACACACAATAATGTGATATTACTTTACAAAAGAGAGAAAGAGAGAGATTGATTTGGCACTGATGCTGCCCCCAACCTCGTCCCCCTCTGTAATATCTAGCTCATTTTACCCATCCTTTAACATTATCACTATATATACAATTCCTTGCCCCAACTTTTTATCACTGACTGCCACTGGTGGGCCTGGAGAAACCCAGTGCATAGTATAGTCAGGACTAGATGTTCTGGAACTGAGTGGGAAACCTGACATTTTTGGCAGCAGCCCCTGCTCTTTGCAACATGCAGTTCTGCCCTTGTCTTTTGTTCAAGAGATATCTTCGTTATTTCTTGTGCCCATTCACCATGGCTTCTCATTAATGTGTTGAATCATTTCCTTCATATTCTTCAGTGGGTGTTTTCATTTCTTTTGTGGTTATAGCCTACAACAGTGAAAGGACTTCCATCTGGCTAGCTTTCTTTTCCTTTTTGTCACTGACTAATTGAGTGACCTCAGGCAAGAATCCCATTTTTCCAAGTATCTCAGCATATTTATCCATGTGACAGATTACATATCATAATATTGATTTACCACTCAAAGATGCTATGAAGCTTAATTAAAGTGTTTTGTGTTGATTCAATTGAAGGCTTCTGGAAAATGCACAATATCTTTTATGATGAAGGCTCCACATGGCAATGGTCATTAAATTGTGACCACAACAACTGTAGCATTGTTAAATGCAATTATTTAGAATTTGACATAGCTAAGATTTACACTTCTCTTCTATGTCAGAGCAAAGCAACAACTGATGGCAATGAATCCTAATCCAGCCCTCCAATTCACAGAATGCAACCTTCCTTCCATTCTTCTCTTCATACTGTCTGAAACTGTTTCTTAAGCAGTGGAAGGAAATAGTAAATATGAAGAAATGAAGGGTTCCCTTTGTTGCTATCCCAGTCAGTGTTAATTAAGCAGGTGTGTGTGTAGAGACTGACTATGTGCCCTCGCTCCCTATAAGCACTTGCCTGGGCTATCTAGAATAAGCACGCATGGCTACTGGCACACAGTATCTTTGAATTAGTTCAAATAGTGGCCCTATTCTGAAACTGAGTCCAATATGTGGACATCAGGGAGGTTCAAGTGAAGTACAGGCACCACTAGTTTTTGGGAGATGGAGTAGTGTTCCAAGAGATGTTGTCAAATGGGATCATGTAAGTTACAGGAAGCTGCCAAGCCAGACACTGGCCCCTGTAGGCCACTATTATCTACATTAAAAGGCAACAACTCTCCCCAAGGATTCAGACAGGGGTGTCTCTCTGGCCTACCTGGAGATGATGATGATAATAATTTTATTAATTTTACTCCATCCATCTGGCTGGGTTTCCCCAGCCACTTTGGGTGACTTACAGCACATTAAATATTGCAAAACATCAGACATTACAAATTTCCCAATAAATTTCCTTTCACATGTCTTCTAAAAGTCAGATAGTTGTTTATTTCCTAGACATCTGATGGGAGAGTGTTCCACAGGGCGGGTGCCACTACCAAGAAGGCCCCCTGCCTGGTTCCTTGTAACCTCACTTCTCGTAGTGAAGGAACTGCCAGAAGGCCCTTGGAGCTGGACCCCAGTGTCCGGGATGAACAATGGGGGTGGAGACGCTCCTTCAGATATACTGGGCCGAGGTCCTTTAGGGCTTTAAAGGTCAGCACCAACACTTTGAATTGTGCTTGGAAACGTACTGGGAGCCAATGTAGGTCTTTCAGTACTGCTGTTATATGGTCTTGACAGCCACTCCCGTCACCAGTCTAGCTTCCGCATTCTGGATTAGTTGTAGTTTCTGAGTCACCATCAAAGGTAGCCCCACATAGAACACATTGTAGTAGTCCAAGCAGGAGATAACGAGAGCATGCACCAATCTGGTGAGACAGTCTGCGGGCAGATAGGGTCTCAGCCTGCGTACCAGATGGAGCTGGTAGACAGCTGCCCTGGACACAGAATTGTCCTGCGCCACCAGAATGACTTCCCAGCTGCACACTTGGTCCTTCAGGAGCACAGTTACCCTATTCAGGACCAGAGAATCTTCCACACCCCCTCGCCCCCTGTCCCCCTAAAACAGTACTTCTGTCTTGTCAGGATTCAACCTCAATCTGTTAGCCGCCATCCATCCTCCAACCACCTCCAGACACTCCAGATGTTGTAGACTGAACCCAGGATCTTTTTCATGCAAAGCACTTGCTTCATCACTGAATTGTAGCCCTTACTAAAAAGTTAAGGAGCAGAACATTTCAATAGGCCCGGGATAGCTCAGTAGGTAAAGCCTGAGACTCTTAATCTCAGGGTCATGTGTTTGAACCCCACGTTGGGCAAAAGATTCCTGCATTGCATGGGTTTGGACTGGATAACCTTGTGGTCCCTTCCAACTCTACAATTCTATGATTCTGTGATTCAAAGAAAAGGGAAATGTGGTTTTGCTGTTAAATGGTCACATATCTAAAGGACAGGCAAAGTAGCTGCCTGCTTCTGCCTGATTTTTTATATATATACTAATTTGTTATCAGAGAATCACATGAAGAACATGAAAGTTTCTTTTTACCATCTGCTGAATATTTCCCAATTACACTACTGTTTTGTTTTGTCATCTGCATGCTCATTCATCATCTCTAGACTTCATTAGCAAAGCATATACTACCAATTTCTTAACGTGACAATATGATAATATTCATACTTGCCATGGTTTTCTTCCAAATGGCTCAATTACTTGTCTTTGAAGGAATGTCCATTAACCTTACCTTGTTTGAGAAACTGACGATACCATTTTTGCAATTAGGTGTGAAATTAGGATTCATTTGGGTCTGTCAATGATGGGAAATTTCTGCATGGGCCTGATTAGCTCAAATATTTACCCAGAATTCCCGAGATTGACAAAGTCCCCACTTTTCATGGTGTATTTGAGAGGAAACATGATCAATACTTCTTGGGACCCTGGTAGAAGTGTAATATGACCAGTCTCTTAATCCTGGCTGAGAAATCTGGGGCATGGCATGGAGTAGAAATTGGATTAAAGGCTAACCTTAGTTAGAAAGAACCATGAATAGTGCTGGTGTAGTGCTCAGGGATGCAAAACCTATGGCATGCCTGACATTGCAGGACTAAAACTTCTGACCACTGGCCATTCTGGCTGGGGCTGATGGGAGCTGTAATCATTTCAACAACTTCTGGAAGGCCACATACACTGATTCTCACTTGTTATTTTGACACCTACTATCATTCCAGTTACATAAGCGTGTAGACTTAATCCCTTACAGTAACACACTTGTTTTCTATGCGCTGCAAGTCTTTCATATGGGGAAGCAATGACATACACAAACCACCATTACCCCAGTATGAAGTATAGAATCGTAGAATCATAGAATTGTAGAGTATGAAGGGACCATGAGAGTTATCTGTTTCAACCCCTGCAATGCAGGAATCTGTTGCCCAACGTGGAGCTCAAACCCACAACCCTGAGGTTAAGAGTCTCATGCTCTACCGACTGGGCTATCTCAGTCTCAATAAGCATTGCACCAGTTACTCACTGTCAAGCATATCAGATTGGTTAAGGAATGTGCAGTAGTACATGTAGTACTCCACTTTCCAATTACAAGAACAATTAGGAAAATTTGTATTTTTACCTTTTTTCCAGAAATCCCAGGACATTATCTGACTCATAATAGCCAGTGTTTCAACTCAGAGTGTGCCAGAGCACAAATGGAACAGAATGTTGGGCTGTGGGATTTCTGTTTCCCTTTAATACACTTGAAGACTGATGGAAAGGGTTTTTCAGTGGCAAGTAATATATGTACATGTGTGTTTGTGTGTGTGTTTGCACAATGCAGCTTGTATTTACTAGCAAGTACACAGACAAATTGCTAGTAGCTGTTCTTACACCGTATAGCTCACTATATGAAATTCAAGAGACCTCTCTGAACTGTTTTCTGCCTGGAAGTCAGCCTGGAAATTTCTGAACATCAGCCGCTTTCGCAAGGCTTCCAGTAGAGGATCTATGGTGGGAAACTGCATGAAAACACTCTCACTACCAGCTGGCATTTCAAGCCTTGAGGTTTTGGATGACTAAGGAATAAGGTCGGGCTGTGTAAATTCAAGGACTTCAAAACTACTTCAAGTTTGGCTCCCATCTTTGTATCTTTCTCCCCTACCAAACATTACTTTAAAATCCTTTGCCATTTCTTCAAAGACTCAGACAGCCCGACATTCTTTGTAATTGTGGGATGAACAGGTACAAAGGGAAATGAAAGAGCTGTGTGCGCGCGCATGCACCAACGAAAGCAAGATACAAGATATTCTCCAAATATTTTAGAAGTTGTAATCCGATGGGGATGATAATAGTCTGATCTGAAGTTAAAGCCCTACTTCTCTCAAAAAGGCAAATGCAGCTAATGGGGGCAGGGGGAGAGACAAACACTTGATCCTCAAAGCTCCCTAGAAGCACAAGATATAAAACGTTTATATACCGGGCTTTGTCCTTTTGGATTTTAGTGTGGAATGTAGCATACAATCAGTACAATAAAATACAGCAACGATAAAAGCATCTGACAAGACCCTTAAAACCACCATGACATTTCCACAGGTTAATGTGACTGAGTAAATTAGAAGTCACTGAATTGGTCAAGCCCTGATGGACTGTTACTGCTGCCTGAAACCTGTTATGAGTACAGCCTTCTGGTGATTTTAATGTTGTGTTCTTTATTATGCGACTTGACTGCATTTTGCATGCGGCCATGGCATTTCCTGTGTAGCTATTGTATGTGCCCTGGGATGATTCTAATGAATAAACGCAATGAATAAATAACAATTTATTTAATTATTCCACCTGGTGCCAAAAAGATGGAAGTGTTGGCGGCAGGAAGATTTATTTGGGAAGAGCATTCAACAGCCAGGGCACCATTGTGAAAATGTCCTCTCCCTTGAAGCTGAATGGCATACCCTGAAAGGAGACGGCCTAGAGCAAAAGACCATGGAAGAGGATCTAAGAGCACAGGCCAGTTTGCAAGGGCAGTACTATATATATATAACCCATACAATTGAACTGGGAGCTTACCAGAGGAAAAACCACTGTGGACAGAGCATTATTGTTCTGTTGACTAAGCAAAGGTTCTCCACTTTTGACAAATGCAGACCCCTCAGCTACACAACTACCTATCTACCAAGAACTCATATATCCCCAATGGCAGCAAGAATGCTACTAGCCCAGAGGTGGAAGGAAGGAGAAATACCAACAAAAGAAACATGGCAGATGAAACTGATGGAGTATGTGGAGATGGCGAAACTGACCAGGAAGATCTGAAACCAGGAAGATCAAGTATTTTCTGAAGACTGGAGTAAATTTGTAATTTATTTAAAAGACCACTGTAAACAGTTAAAATCTTTGGCAGGGGTGTAATGACACTTGTAATGTGGAATTATTTATGGTAATTATGTTTATATAATAGATGGATAATGGTAAAAGATGCAGCAAATTTAAATTTAAATATGGAATCCATGGAGGGAGGGAAGGAGGTCCGAAGGTTCAAAAGAACCTTGTATTTTAATGTTTGAATTGCTATGTTTTATATGTATAAAATTATCAAAAACTCAATAAAAAATTATAGAAAAGAAAAGAAAAAATAACTCGTATATCCCCCTTGTTTTGCTGCTTGCCTGGGATTGTCAGGAACCAGGTATGCTATAATACATGGCTAATTAGTACAAATCAGAAGTCCTTGTTTGAGTTCTTGCCACAAACTCACCATGTGATCTTGTGAAGGGGGACCACATCCTAGCCTCATGGCATGCAATATTAGAAAAATAATACTCTCCTTTCAGGGCTGTTTGAAGGATGACAGCAACACTGATAAGGTATATGAAGACCACCCAAAAGCACTGTGTTATGTACTATGGGTCACAAGTTGTGCAGGCCAGTAGTAGCACAAATAGGAAGTGCTTCCTTCGTTTCATCATCTTTCTAATCTGTATGCTTTAATCAAGTGTGTCATTATCTAGGTTCCTTCCCACAACCTGCCCACAAGAGGGAGTAAAAAAGGAAACAGAAAAAAGTCCTAATAACAATACTGCAAGATTTGAAAGCCAAATCAGAATAAACAAAACCTAACATCTTCACTTAATGCATGGGAAAGGAGGGCATTTAAAAAGTGTGTGTGTGTGTGTGTGTGTGTGTGTGTGTAAGTGTGTGTGTGTGTGTTTCTTCAAGATTTTATTATGCTGTACAGCATTTATTTATTTCTGCCATGTGTATTTAATAGAAGTTTGAAGTGCTTTATTTTCCTTTCCAATGCATTATTAAATTTCTTCCACCCACCTTGCATAATTTCCAGGCCTTGCTCTTAACAATAGGGACATTTCCTTCATGCACTCTCAACCTGAAAGAAATTATTTGCAGCCTACATACAAGAATTCCACCCACCATGGAAAAAAAAGAGGTGGAAGGAACTTTCAGTTCAAGCCCTCAAAGAAAATTAGGATAGTCTACGCAACATAGCCTCAAACGGCAGAAGGCTAAAACAACGTAAAATTCAACAAGGCTAAGAAGAACCAGTGTGGACCAGATGAGCCTTGTTTTCTCTCATTCTGTATGCAAGAATGACTTCAATGCGTGAGGAGACCCAACTGGATTCAAAGTGGATGACAATTTGAACAGGAGTTAGCAAGTTGAAGAAAGGAAAGAGATCAAATTGCATTTCAGGTTTGACTTACAGTGTAGCTTAGTACAAAAGGCGGCAGGAAGGTATGGAGTAGAAAGTTGGGACTTGTCATGTTCTTCTGGTCAGAAGGGAGTAAGGTTAACTCCTCTTCAGGAAGAAGGCAGGGCCAATCAGGAAAAAAGACCATTTATGTCCTTCCTGGAAAGGAGACCACCTTCCAGTTTCACAGCTTGACTTCAGCACAAACATTGCTTATAAATAAAAGGCTGTGGCCAGATAACTACTATTTTGTTGATGAGAAATGTAAAGAATATGGGGAGATAGGAAGTAGGAATCCAACAGTGTGTCCAACTAAGTCACTTGGAACAGCTAAGAAACACAACCTTTGCTGCGCCAGATCAAGATTTATGATTTTATGGTGTTTTAATGTTTTTTTAATTGTACTTTTTGGGGTGGTATTTTTCTTAGTGATTTTTTTCCTTGTAAATAAATGATTTTTGAAAGCCAGGGCCGTAAATGGCCCTGAGAGCAACAAGGTGTGATGGCATGTCGCCAGCAGTCATAGGGACACTGGTGTGTGTGTGTTTTCAATTTAAACGAGGAAAAGTAGGAAAAGGCCACTTTTCATAAAGGTTAAATCACAGGAGGAAAAAAAAAGTTTGTGTGTGTGTTTATTATTAAGAAACCCTGCACATATAAGTGGAAATGGGACAGAACAAGCTGATGGCGCACTCATTGGAAAGGGGAACAAAATGGGACTGGACTGGTGCACCCATCCATAGCAACTGCTGAGAAGGTTCTGTCCTTGGTACCTGTTAACCATATTGTTATAATGGTGGACCTGATGGCATGGCATGATATCCAGATAGGTTCATTAGGGTGTATGTGGTCCTTCAAATAGCCTGGCCCCAAACCAAAAAGACCTGTAAAAGTTAAGACCAGTACTTTGAATTTAGCTGAGGAGCAAACAGGTATGTATTATAAGTTGGGTGTTACATGCACAGATCGCTTATTCCCACCAGATGTCTGGCTTCTGCAATCTGTATCTGCTGAAGATTCTTGACTGTTTTCAGAGGCAGCCCCCACACAGAGTCTGGAAGCAACCAGTGTGTGTATGATTGTAGCCAAATCTGCTTTCTTTGGGTGGCTTCCTGCTTTACGGACACTCTCCACAAACTAACTGAAATCATACCCTGGTACGGCATTTGCTGTCTTGCTGTCTTATCGTAAAGCTTGTTATCTACTATATATACCATCAAACTCTAAACAATGCTACTGCATAGATAACTATTCTCCATAGTGTTAGCTCCTCCCCAATCTGTATTCTTTGCATTTACCTCTGCTGAATTTCATTCAATTCAGTTCTCCATTTTGTCAAGACAATTTCAAATCCTAATACTATCCCCAAGGGTATTTGCAGTATATCCTCCTTTTATGTCAACTGCAAATTCCCTAAAGTGCACAAGCTCTCTTTCTTTGGTAACGTCGTTATCAAAAGTATTAAAAAGGACTGGATACAGGTGCAGATTGTACAAGGAATATAGCAAGCTCTGGGTACCACGGTGGCTAAGCCTGAAATCGGACAGCATTAGTTTCAAATGAAATTATTCATATAAAGGTCTTTAACAAGTCTAAAACATAACTTACTAGACACTAATTCCTCCCCTATTCCATAACTAAATTTATTACCTTGGCTAATGTAGACATTGCCTTTATGTTGGTGGTCAAAATTTTCCACCTTCAGTACAGATAAGAAGCCAGACATATAATTAACCCAAAGCAATAGCAACAATTTATGCTACAGACAACATTAAAGATCACACATTTTTAATTTCATAATAATAAT